GAGAGAGAGAGAGAGAGCACATGAGAGGGGAGAGGGTCAGAGGGAGAAGCAGACTCCCTGCCGAGCAGGGAGCCCGATGCGGGACTGGATCCAGGGACTCCAGGATCATGACCCGAGCCGAAGGCAGTTGCTTAACCAACTGAGCCACCCAGGCGCCCCTAAAAGAAGTCTTTTTTATCCTTTTTGTTATATAAATAGGGAACACTAACAGAGAAGTTCCTGGAGAATCACAAGAGCATACTTTTTTTTGAAGCCAAGAGAGAAGGAAGAGTTGTTGATAGATACGTAGATTGCCAGTAGCTGAAATATCTTGGTTTTAATTTTGCATATCTTTGTTTTAAAATTTCCGAGAGATTTTATGATTCTCAAAAGCCCTCTGCATTTCATGAAAATTTATGAAGAATCCTATATAGTTCAGTAGCATTTCTGTGAATAATGAATGATACCCTGACAGAATAGAATATCATTTGGCTGAGAAGCATTAGGTAATGGTTGATAGGGAAGGAGACATCCCTGGAAAGTGGTGTATACTAATAAAGGATTAGGGGGAGGATTATCTGTCAGTTGGTGTTTTGAGTATTTGGCTGAAATACTCCATGTTGTGAAGATGACCTAAATAGCGTTCAACTTACAATATTTAAATATTTGTGTAGGAAATATTTTAAAATTTTTCTTACTATGATTAATGAAAAAGAATTTGCTTTTCAGTAAACATTGCAATTATGAGAACATTTGTTTACTTTGGTTAAATCCACCTAAGGCTTTTAAACTTGGTCATTGAAACCTAGGAAAGAGTTATTTTGTGCATCCTGTTAATTGACACAGGGACCAGGTTATTGTCTTTTTGTGTCTATGTAATAACTTAATTCTTTCTTAATTTTTAGAACCTAATCCACCAATTGATCAGGTTATCCAGAAACCAGGAGTTGTACAGAGATTTGTGAAATTTCTTGAAAGAAATGAAAATTGTACTTTACAGGTGAGTTCTAAAGTTTTCTTTCTTAATCTCTTTCCAGAAATAACATATGATTAAAGTTTCTAGTGAACTTCTACAATACTAAATATATTGTAAACATTCAGGAAATACTTGGAAATTAAAGGAGAAGGTAGTGCCACCTGTCTTGCCTTAGTCATGTTTACAATGCTAGTTTTTTTTAGGGACTGTTATTTCTTTAAAACGATTTTGGGAAAACTATATAAAATCATTCGTATAATGTTAATAAAAATTTTGTAGTTGTCAACCTTTAATAACTTTTTCGTTTTAGAAAACCTCAAATTAAAATGTTAATGGGTAAATTTTTTTTGGCTCTTAGCTAATTAGAGTTGTAACTTTTTAATGTAAACTCTTTCACCTTTTAAGACATTAGTCTGATTAGTTCTTTTTTTGGAAAAAAAAAATCAATAGAATCTACTAAAAATGTGACCAAAGTTAGGTTTGTCCAAATGAGCATTACTTCTCAGTTATACTATAGTGTCAGTTATAAGATGTTTTCCAAATAATTGGCTGCTAATAGTAAATGACTGAAGTTTGCAAATATTTACTGTTTTTTAAAGAAAGATTGCTTTTCCTGATTTCATTGCTATATATATTCTTAAGTAGGAATATAGTGTGGAATTACATCTCTCAGGAATTGCACAAGACCTGCACGTAGTTTATCAGCGCTGTTGTCAATAGTGGAAGATTGTTACAGGTATTTGAGTAATAGTTGTTGAAACTACAACTTAGAATAGTGTTCCACTGATCTGAGTAATTTGGGAAAGCTCCTCACATTTTAGATAATAAGCAAAGGAATGTGTTGCACACATGAATATTACCTATCATGATTTTTATGCTGAAAAATTTTGAGAGTATTTACAATAAGGATGTCTGAGGAAAAAGCCACTTTGTGTTATATATAGTAATACTGTGCGTTAGTTTTCAAAGTCTTTACGTGTTAGCTCTGTAAGGGCTAGAAGTCCATTTGCTTCATATTTAAGCCCGAAGTCCAGACTAAAACCCAGGCCTCCTGATATTTAGTTTATTATTTGGCTTTTTAATTCTAAATGAATGAAAGAGGAAATGAGTAAATATGAATAAATAAAATTGAGTGTTAGTTTTAGCCATATAGTGTGTGTAAGGCATTGTATTACAAAATTAAAACATTGTCCCTTTGCAGAAATTCTTCACTCTTTCTTGGGAAAGACAAACATGTAAACAGATCTGTGATGCCATAGTATGCTTAGTGCTATAACAGAACTATAAACGGAGTGCTTTAGGAGCATGGTGTAATAACTCATCTGTGTAGGGGAAGTTGAAGAGGACTTCACAAATGGCTAGTCGTGAGGATAAACCTTTTCCGGATGAACCTGAAAAGAGGAAAATTAATTGTTATGAGAACAGCAGGTGCAAAAAGCATAGGGTATTTAAGAATAACATTGGGGACTTTGGCATTTATTAATCAGTGAAGTTAAAACTTAATGAAATTCAACAGTATGGCCTTGGGATAGCTATAGCTTTGCCCTACTACCCACATTCATATAAAATATGTTAGTTCAGATTATTGGTCTGTTGAAGAGATCTCCCAACTGATGGCCTACTGTCCATATTGGCCTACAAACAAGTTTTGTTTGTCCTGCATATGTTTTAAAAATGTGAATTAGATATTGGCCTTTAAAATATTGGAGAATTTCATACGAAAATCCAGATTTTTGACTTCTTTTGACAAATCAGAAGAGTTGGCATTGCTGCCACACAGTAAAGGTCTAGTGGGGCTGAATAGTTGTGCCTCCCCACCCCGCTTTTAGAAAGTTACTTCCTTTTTGTCCCTTCTTTTTAGAAAAATCATAGTCATGCTCTCTAGCTTGCTGCAATTCCCCACTTACTCATATCACTCCTTTTATTCTTAATTATCTGTTTTGTCAACTTCTGAATTCACCACTTTTCTTTAATGCTTTCTCCTGGGGATACCTAGGAGAATTTTATGGAGTAAACTTTTAATTGTTCTTTAGTTTGTTTCTTTATAATTGGTTAGTACTATGGTCTTTTTTTTTTCAACATAAGTTCCTCCCTTAAAAATTTAGTCTTACACATAATAGTAACTACTTTTCATGCCTTTCAGTAATGCTATTGGTTGTGTTTTTATTTTATTAATCATAGTGATATGTACCTTTCATGTGAAAAGTTGTCTATGTCAAATATTTTTAAAGTTATAGTCACTCCTTAGTTTGTGGATTTGTAGATCATTTTCAGTTATTCACTAGTTTATTGTTTGGGAGCCATGGGTTGAATTTTCTGTTTCTTCTGTTACAAATCCATCACATTTAAGTATATCCAAATTTAAGTAGAATTGACATGAGTGGCTTTTCAGAGGTCCTGCTGCTTACAGGAATACAAGTCCTGCCTGTGGCTCTGCTAATAGTGAATTCTTTGACTTTGAACAAATCATCTAAGTCTCTGGCCTTCTAATTTTCTTAATTTCTTTTTTTTTTTTTAAAGATTTTATTTATTTGAGAGACAGAGAATGAGAGGTAGAGAGCACGAAAGGGAAGAGGGTCAGAGAGAGAAGCAGGTTCCCTGCTGAGCAGGGAGCCCGATGTGGGACTCAATCCCAGGTCTCCAGGATCATGACCTGAGCCAAAGGCAGTCACTTAACCAACTGAGCCACCCAGGCGCCCTAATATTCTTAATTTCTTAAATGAGGAGATTGGAACTGGATGATCCATCCCTAAGGAAACAAAAGTACCTTTTAGGATTCTAAGTTCCATAAATGTACTATTGCTCTATTAGTAGTGTCTCATTTATTTCATTTATTTTTAAACTGCCTTGCTTTAGGACACCTGGCTCTCTAAATAGTAAGCATTAGGAGTTCTGGGAAATATAATTTCAATGTTCATTTATTGTTCATGATTTTGAAAATTTTCATTCTTCTCAGTTTTTATTTTTCCAAATTGAGTCCTTTTTTAAAACTAAGGGGTTTTATTTATGAAATCTGATTAATCTTATTAATCATAAATCAGTCTTTCAGGCTTGTCCAGCTAACTCTTTACTCCCTCCCTTCTTTCCTTTCTTTCTGACAATTCTTTGGTGCTTTCATTTATTCTACTTCTGTTTTTCCTTAGTTTGAAGCTGCATGGGCATTAACTAATATAGCATCTGGAACTTTTCTGCATACCAAGGTAGTGATTGAAACTGGGGCTGTTCCAATTTTTATCAAACTTCTTAATTCAGAGCATGAAGATGTGCAAGAGCAGGTATGTTTCTAATTTGAATGGTTATATTTACTAGATTTTAATGTTCTCTTGAGAGTTGAATGTGCATTGCATTTGTTAAAATATAATAATTTCTCTTCAGTGTCAAATTAGAAGGAAGCCAGAATGAACTATCTCAGGCATAATCCTGGGTTCTCTGTAAGTGTGATCTCAGGTATCAGAAATTACTATTCTCGTGTATAAAAGAACATACTGAGACTCAGAAAGTTAGTAATTTACCCAAAGTCACAGTGAATGGCTGAACCAAGTTTTAAACCTGGGCTTGTCTGACTCCTTATTCTTTGCATGGGCATAGATTATTTTGTTGTTTCTTTTTTTTTTTTTTTTTTTAAGATTTTATTTATTTATTTGAGAGAGAGAGAGAGCACATGAAAGGGGGAGGGTCAGAGGGAGAAGCAGACTCCCTGCTGAGCAGGGAGCCCGATGCGGGACTCGATCCCGGGACTCCAGGATCATGACTTGAGCCGAAGGCAGTCGCCTAACCAGCTGAGCCACCCAGCCGCCCTTGTTGTTTCTTTTTAAAATATCACGTTATTTTCAGTGGAACTGTTTTTAAATAGACATTATAAATTCTAATAGGGAAAATGTAATCACATATACTTTGTACCAATGAAATAAAATAAAATGTTTTGGTATTTTTGTTTTGAACTATTTTTATGGCAAATTGATCTGTTGATCTACCATTCCATTCATCTGTTTAGTTTTATATATATTTTATATATATATATTCATCTGTTTTAGTTTTATATATATACACACGGAGTTTTTTTCCCCCCACTTAATTGATATTGGGAGCCTTTTCTAATGGCATTATTTATTCTTACAAGGAAATTTTACTGGTTACTCATTATCTAGTTAGGTATGAACCATAACTTATTATCTATTCCTCAATTATATATTAGAGTTATTTCTAGCTTATTAATATTACGATGAACATCATTATCAGTCTGTATGTGTGTCTTGATTATTTCATTAGGAAAAATGACTTTAACCCTGGTAAAAGAAAAATTTTTCAAGTTCTTATTATGTATTTCAAAGTTGACCTCCAAAGAAGTTATACATACTAATTTCCCCACCAACAGAATGTTAGACTTCACAGGGTGAAAAATGTCATTACTTAAAAAGACTTTTCTTAAGGTGGCTCTATGGCTTAGTTGGTTAAGTAAGCGCCTGTCTTGTAAAAGATTTTTCTTAAAAAATAGAAAATAAACTTAGGCCTAGAGTAAAAATATGTTAAAAATATTAACTTTTTTTTTTTAAGATTTTATTTATTTATTCGACAGAGAGAGAGTGAGCAAAGTAGGCAGAGAGGCAGGCATAGGGAGAGGGAGAAGCAGGCTCTGCACTGAGCAGGGAGCCTGATGTGGGGCTCGATCCCAGGACCCTGAGATTATGACCTAAGCCACATAAACTGACTGAGCCACCCAGGCGCCCCTATTAACTCATGTTTTAAATGTTAAAATTTTCCCAATTGAAAAAGTAACTTATGTCTACTTTTGCACTTACTTGAAAAATTTGAAGCGAGAATATAATGAAATGATAATTTGCATAATTTGTCATTTAATTGAAATTAAATAAGTGAATAATTCGATATTTTACCTAAATTATTTAAAAAATTATAATGAACCTGGACTAATTCTAAACTTATTTTCAGAGATCAATCCAAGCTAATTCTTGTAGTAGCTTTACTTCACTTTTCTATATTTTGTTTCTCCTTCCCTTCTGTTACAAATGAGTCCCTTCCCAGTGAGTGGATTACTTGGCATAGGAGCAAACCTCTAGAATAGGTAATTGCAAAATTCACTAAATTGATATATTTTGTCTCTCCATGTAGATTTGGAGTAGACAGACTATCTCTTTGTTGACCAGAATAAACATTTCACTAGTATGTAATGAAAAAATTTTAATGCCCTATCCTTCAGTTGGTTAAAAATATTAGTAAATGGTACTTTTAAACTTTCTTTACTGTCCTACTAGCATTTTTTTTTTAACATCTTGAAAACTGTTACTTAGTTCATTTTGTACTAAAATCTCATTCTTAAGAGAGAGCATCTTATTTAAGATATTGTAACAGAATATTTTTTTCTCATTTTTCTAAGGCTGTTTGGGCACTTGGTAATATTGCTGGTGACAATGCAGAATGCAGAGATTTTGTTTTGAATTGTGAAATACTTCCACCTCTTTTAGAGTAAGTACTTTATCACAATTAAATTGTGATAGTTTTGGAGAAGAAAACTATATATTCTACACTATAATTCTACATACACAATTATGTTCTTCAGTAGTGCTTTTAAATTTGGGATATGTTTAGCTGTATCTGCAAGAGCAATAGCTTAAAAGTAGGTAAAGCAAACAAAATTCCAATTTTATCGTTTGTCTTTTATATTTTCTTAAGCCACATAACAGTGTTTATTGTGTACTTGATGCTTACTGTGCTGAAATAATAATTCTACAAAATAAGAATATGTAGTAGTTTTTAGAAGAATAAAAATTTAAGTTCTGCTAAAGAAGGGAATCTTTAGTACATGAACAGATGATATATTTAGGATATCAGGTTTTTATATTTGATGTTGAAATGTTCAGAGAACAAAGATCATAAGACATTTTTCTTTTGGAATCAGAATTAAATATTTATCTAGTAGTTTCTTTTTTGAATACATTACACACTTTTTAAAAAAACAGTTACCCTATAATGTAAGGACCTTTACGGAAAATACGTAAAATTATTTGAAAGGTAGATTTCCTTTATTCATCTTTGTTATCATTCACTAAGAGGATTTTTTTTTAGACTAGATGCCACTGGCAAGTAGTGAAAAAGAAAAAACTAATTGAGGAGATGGTTAAAAGGAAAATTTTATCATTTCTACACTATTAGCCATTCTCTTCAAGCTGAAGAATTGAAAGGAAGAATAAATTTTTAGTTACGAGTTTGCAGAAGATATTTTATTCTTCCAGAGAGAGTAACTTTCCATGGAGCAAGTGATTTCACAGCATTTCACTCAACTAACATTGAATACTTAACTATGTCCAGGCCACTGAACCACTTGCTATAATGTCATTAACTTTGGGCTTATTCAAAGTTAATGTTCCAAAGTATTTGAAAATTTAGCTGAGCTGTAAAAGAAAATACTGATTTAGAGTTCAATATCAGAGTTATTTTGAAATTCATACTATTAAAAGTATCTCTTAAATTTTCAATTTGAGATTTTTCTGGCCTGATTATATGGTTCATAGATTAACTGAACACTTTGTTTCTTTTTACTTTTGCTCTCTGTCTCATTTTCTTATTTGTTAATATCTCAAGTTAGTAGTGGTTTCTGAAATAGTAAGCATTTATTAGTTCTAATTCCTTTAAATGTTCTAAGGAGTTTTAATCATGACCAAAGAAACCAAACTAAAAAATAAAGCTCTAATGGAGAAAAAAGTACTCAGCTGTGTCGTGCTAGTTATAAATATAATAAATTTCAGAAAATGAGTAGGTTTAAAAAGTTAGAAAACTTAAAAGTTTCATTAACAAATTGAGAAAAGTAGTAAAAAAGAAATTATGTCAACTTAGCTACCAGATGCTCTCACTTTAGTTGGGCAAAAGGAAGAAAGTTATTGGCTTTTATTAAGATTGTAGATTATCTGTTGTTCACATTGAAATTCACATTTTAGTTATTGCTTAAGTAAATGTAAAACTTCTATTAATGTATGGTTTTATCAATTCTGTTTGAGTGAGTTTTAATTTGTTTTATTCTACTTCATTCGATTCTCAGTAAACATAACTGCAGTAAATGTAAATCTCTCAGCAAATGTAAATCTTTTACTGTCGATTTCATATACTGACACATTTGTTGTTTTAATTTAATTTGACTTTAATTTATATAATAACCTCATTAATACAGATAAAGAATAGTATACAACACAGCTTGGCCAACTATAGTCCTCAGGCCAAATCTGGCCTGCTTCCTGTTTTGTAAATTAAGTTTTATTGGAACACAATCACTCCCATTTGCTCACTTAATGTCTACGGTTGCTTTCTTGCTACATAAGCAGAGTTGAATAGTTGCTACAGAGAAAGGCCTGCAAAGCCTAAAATATTTACTGAAAAAGTTTCTCAACCCCTGATATAGAAAGTCAATGTAATTATTTTATTTCTAAATGAGTTATGGTTTTAGGAGGCTTCAAAGAGTGTAGGAAAACCTGTAGAACAGATTTTTTTTGTATATGGTAAAATATACATAACATAAAATTTATCATTTTAACTATTTTAAAATGTACAGTTCACTGGCATTAAACAGTGTTTTGTACCTATCACCACTATCTAGTTCCAGAACTTTTAACACTCCAACAGAAGCCCCAGTACCTATTAAGATGGCATGTCCCATTTCCTCCTAGCCCCAGCTCTTGGAAACCACTAATCTGCTATCAATGGATTTACCTATTCTGGATATTTCATATAAGTGGAATCATACATTGTGTGACCTTTTGTATCTGGCTTCTTTCACTTAGTAGTGTATTGTTTTCAAAGTTCATCCATATTATAACATGTATGAGTACTTCATTATTTTTATGGCTGAATAACATTCTGTTGTATGGATGTACCACATTTTGTTCACCCAGTCATCAGTTGATGGTCATTTATTTTCCACCTCTTGATTAAATAGTATTCCTCTGAACATTCAAGTACAAGATTTTGTTTGAACAGTACTTTTTAATTCTTTTTAGGTATATACCTATGAAAAGAATTGCTGGGTTGTATGCAATTCTATCTTTAACTTTTTAGGAACCACCAAACTATTTTCCATAGCAGCAGCACCATTTTACATTCCCACCAGCAATGTATGAGAGTTTCAATTTTTCCACATTCTCATCAGCACTTGTTATGTTATTCTGATTTAAGCCACCCTTGTAGGTGTGAGGTGGTATCTCATTTTGCTTTGATTTGCATTGAACATCTTTTCATGGGTTTGTTGGCTATATCTCTATCTTCTTTGGAGAAATGTCTATTAAGTCTTTTGAATAATTTTTAATTCAGTTACTTGTTTTTTGTTGCTGTGTTGTAAGAATTCTTCATATATTCTGAATACATTCTTATCAGGGTAATGATTTACAATTTTTTTTTTTTTTTTTTGCATTTGCTGGGCTGTCTTCACTCTTGATAGTGTCCATTCAGTCACAAAAGTTTTTAATTTTGATGAAATCCAATTTATATACTTTTTTCCTTTTGTTGCTTATGCTTTTGGTGTTGTATGTGAGAAACCATTGCCAAATCTAAGGTCATGTATATTTGCCCTTATATTTTCTTCAAAAAGTCTTATAGTCTTTGCATCTTTGATGCATTTTGGGTTAATTGTTTTAAATGATACAAGGGCATTTGCTTATCACAGCATAATTTGTAGAAGAGAGTATTCTTTCCTCATTGGCACAATATTGTTTTGATTACAGTAACTTTGTGGTAAATTTTGAAATCAGAATGTGTGAGTCCTTCAGTTTTCTTTTTTTGGTCAAGATTGTTTTAGCTATTGGGGTGCCTGGGTGGCTCAGTCACTTAAGTGTCTGACTTGATTTCAGCTCGGATCATGTGATTGAGCCCCGCATTGGGCTCCATGCTCAGTGGGAGTCTGCTTGAGATTCTCTCTCCCTCTGTCTTCCTCACCCACTCCTTCTGCCCCCCCCCCGCTCGTGCATGCTCGCTCTCTCTTTCTTTCTCTCAAATAAATAAATCTTTTTTTTTTTTTAAAGATTTTTGTTTATTTAGTTGACAGAGACAGAGCCAGCAAGAGAGGGAACACAAGCAAGGGGAGTGGGAGAGGGAGAAGCAGGCTTCCCTCTGAGCAGGGAGCCGGATGCAGGGCTTGATCCCAGGACCCTGAGATCATGACCTGAGCCTAAGGCAGACACTTAACTACTGAGCTAACCAGGCACCCCTCAAATAAATAAATGTTTTTTTAAAAAAGATTGTTTTAGCTATTCAGGGCTCCTTGCAATTCCATATGAATTAGTTTTCAGAGTACAGAATTGGTTAAATTTATTCCTAAGTGTTTTATTCTTTTGATGCTATTTTAGATGAAATTTTTTTTGACTTGTTAATTGATAGTGTATAGCCATATCATTGGTTTTTGTGTTTTAATCTTGTAGCTTGCACCTTTGTTGAATTCATTTATTAGCACTAATGGGGTTTTGTTGTGGATTTTCTCTATATAAGATCATGTCATCTGTGAATAGTAACAGTTTCAGTTATTGCTTTCTAATTTGGATGCCTTTATTTCTTTTTCTTGCCTAATTGCTCTGGCTAGAGCTTCTAGTACAGTGTTGCATAACAGGGCAAAAGCAGGTATCTTCATCTTGTTTCTGATCTTGAGTAAAAGCTTTCACTCTCACCGTTGAATATGTTGTTAGCTGCAGATTTTTCATAAATGTTCTTTATCATTTTGAGGTAGTTTGCTCCTATTCCTAGTTTGTTGATATTATGAAAGAGTGTTGGGTTCTGTTAAATGCTTTTTCTGCATCAGTTGACAGGATCACATGTTTGTTTGTTTTTTCCCTTCATTCTTTTAATGTATATTATATTATTTATTATTTGTACATTGAGCTATCTTTGTCTTCCTGGGGTAAATTCCATTAGGTCATAGTATATAACCCTTTTAATATGTTGCTGGATTAAATTTCCCTAGATTCTGTTAAAGATTTTTGCATGTGTAGTTTTTAGAAATACTGGTCTGTACTTGTGATGTCTTTGGCTTTGGTATTAGGGTAATGCTGGCTCATAAAACAGGTTAGGAAGTGTTCTCTTCTATCTCTTGGGAGAGTTTGAGAAAGATTCATTTTTTCTCATGTTTTGTAGAATTTACCAGTGAAGCCATCTTGTGCTGGACTCTTCTTTATTGTGAGGTTTTTGATTACTGATCAATATCTTTAATCGTTGTAGGCCTATTCAGATTTTCTGTGTCTTCTTGAATCAGTTTGGTAGTTTATGTGTTTCTAACTGTTCATTTCTTCTGGGCTATTCAATTTGTTGGATTACTATTGCTCATAGTATTCTTTTATACTTATATTCTTATTTCTGGAAAATCAGTAGTAATTCACTTTCTTTTTTTTTTTTTTTTTAGATTTTATTTATTTATTTCAGAGTGAGAGAGAGAACGCACGTGTGTACCTGTGCTTATTCTGGGGGTGGGGAGGGGGTAACAGAGGGAGAGGGAC